TTTTAGAGAATTCCATATTTAAGATTGAGGTCCATTTACAAATGTATTTGTAATATCTCAGAGCTAAACACTGTATGTGCTCCCATCTATATACTCAGTTAATTTTTAAGAAAAATTGTGGTTAAATAACTTCTAGGACATTTCTGAGTGATATATGGGAGAAATTAACATGTTATTTTATGGTGTCATTTTCGCAGCAAAACACAGATTTATCTAGCAGTCAAAGAATGGCTTTTAAGAGAAGAGTTAAGAGATGAATGATTTGTTTATCTTTCTTCATGCAAGGCACACAGTATTAAGACTCTTCACAAAAAAATCTGATGAGTAAAATGTTCATATGCACACTTAAAGGTTACACAGTATACCATACCAAGTACATAAAACCTTTAGTCAAATTAAATCATGTTCTCAAGGTCCTTACACGCTGTTAATTACAGTTTCTTCCTTCACTGCTCATGTATTGTTCCATAATCATGCAGTAAAACTCAAAAGAGCCTGAAATGTAAGTTTTCCATCTTGTTACCTTTCCTTCCATCTTTTCATCACTCAAATACTGTGCTTCCTGCAGTTGTTTCAAAGCTTCATTGGATAATAAGCTGTAGCTCTCCTGGAGGGATCTGACTTGCTTTTCCATTACACTTCTCTCTTCATCTGTCATTCTATTAAAAAAAAAAGAGAGACAGACAGAGAGAGACAGAGAGAGTGAAATACAGAGAAACAGAGAGAAATAGAGAGAAAAGGAAGTATCTTTGAGTATTGCAGTGAGTGATCTGTGAACCTTTATTTTAAAAAAAGAGAAAAAAAATTATACTTCTCTTGACTTAGTATATATTATAAAAGTATGGTATGAAAAAATATAACTTAGTTATGAACATGTTCCAGAAAGCTATAATCTGCTTGTAGCTGTATAGGAAAAGAGGCTAAATTAATAAAAATTTACTTAGAATCATCACTAGAGCCAATGGTCTATCATTTGCATGTGCCTCTGACTGTCTGCTATTTATCAGTCAAGACAAGTAACATAGATGGCAGATTCACAAAAATCTCAATAATTTAGTAACTTAACTAGTCCGATTTCAGATATAGATGAAACAAAGCTATGATACATAGTTCAAGTAATAATTTATTATTACTGTTAATTATTTGGATTTCAAATGAAAGTTGCTATCTAATGTTTTTTAATCTGATCAGAGGTACATAAACCTAATCACATTCTTAAAATAAATAAAACCTAATCAAGCTTTTCCCAAAATGGGAAGACAAAATTATAAAACCAAGGAAAAAATCGACATACTCATATGTAAAATATAATAGGTATTATGAGAATATGAGTTCTTTCTAAGCAAACACTATGCATTGATTCAATTCATTTATATTATTTGAAAAATAATAAGCATAAAAATGGCATACTTGTCACTGTGCTTAGCTAAAAATGACTGAGTAGTCTGCAGAGCTTCAGCTATTTGTTCTTTCTTGGTTGACATTTCATCCAGGGAAATCTGAAGAATAAACAACATATGCTCAAGACTTAGCTGTGCAGACATATTGAAAAAAAAAAGAAAGACACAACATTATGTTTCTACTTAATATAAAACTGTACAGAATAATGTAAGAATTTAAATTTTTTAAAAACATATTGGCTATTCTCAATGCTATATTATTTATTGTGGCAGAAATAATATCTTTTACATATAGATAAGTTACTGAACAAAGCCTTCTGGTTAGATAAGCTGCTTGTATCAGAGAGCCATTGGGTAAGACAAATGGAATTTATTTTAAAATGTTACTTGGCTAAAAGTTTGCAATAATACTTAACTAATCATTTAAAATCATTCCTGACTCTAATTGACACAGTTTAAAGAAGTTTGAGAGATATGAATACAAAAATCATGTTCAAGAAGTCATTCACCAGGATAAGAGATAATAGCTTAAAACCCAACCAGAGGGCCACAAAACTTCATGAATTTCAGTGACAGGCATACACAATATTATAGACTTAGAAAAAATGAATTATTTATTAATATTCTCCTTGTTAGCACTTCTGTGTCATTCCCACTAAGGCAGTAGTTTCAGCAGAGGAATCTGCAAGATTTTCACCTTTCCTTTTGAACTTCTGAGTAAGTGTCCACTGTTTCTTCACACAAAAGGGCTACCTTTGCTTTTGCATGACCAAAATCCAAAGTTTCAAGGGGAAGCCTAGTAGCTAGCTTAACAAGCCTGGAATGAGGGCAATGCTACAGAACCATAAGAAGATGCTTAGGCCCTGTGTTCAAGCAGGTAAAAGATATGACATGACACATTCTGTCCTTGTATTCATAGCACCAAAGGGCACAGTAAGTCTTAAACACAGTCTCCTTTTGCAGACAGCACCAGCTAGCCAGGTTCTCACCATCTGTATGCCTTGGACAGCAGTCAAGAGAGCAAGCACAGTATACAATATAAAAAGATCTGAGCAGGCCTGAGGTAGCAGGTTGAGCCAAGTGCTCCCCTTTGCTATGGGAACACTGTGGCTGCTCTGCGCATCCCTTCACTATGGGCAACAACCTCTCTATCAGCTCCACAGCTATAAGCCACAAAACCCAAACTGGTGTGAAATTTCCTTCAGCTAACATTAGCTATCAAATCACCATTCCTACACATCTCTACAAAACCTGTCAAGGCATCCTTGCTAGTAAATGGAAAAACACAAATAGGCTAGGCACCCTTGGAAGGCTACTAATCCCCATTACATCACCGGCCCATTTCACAACAGAAGGGAACACGACGTGAAAACGTCTGTCTCCCCCGCTGGCAGGGGAGGAAGTCGAGGCAGCTGAGAGAAAGTCGAGGTAGCTAACTCATGGGTAACTTTCTGAGGGCTCAAGCTGGATGGCAAGACGCCATCCATAGCCACTGTAGTAGGCTGAGATGCTCCAAGGAGCTGAGTGCTGGTCCAATGCTCACAAAGGTCTTCACCATCGTCTTTAACAGCAGCAAAAAAAAGGCCAAAGCGGAATGTTTTCGCAAATCCCAGTCCTAAACATACTTTCAAAGCAATAGAAACTCACTTCTTCCTATAAATATAGGAAAACTCAGTAGCAGAAGTAGTATTGGAAGGCAGTGGTTCTGTCATACAGAGTGAGTAGAGTTCCTCCTGTAAGAATACCCAGCACATCAGGACTGGTGGCCCTGTCACTACCTGCAGGGGTTTGTCCTGGCTGACAGCATGCTTCATTTCCACCCATTCTGCCCCAGTGGCTCTGACTGGCACCAGTGCGTGTGACCAAAACACACAGAGGAAGAGGCTGCTCGAAAGACGGGCCAAAAATCAAGTTTGTGTGACCACACATCCAACTCTGTATCTGATACTTCCTGAAATCTTTTTAAGTATTTAGTGAGTTATTTTATACAACAGGTTCTAGATGGTGTGCTGTTTGAAGTGATATGGAACTTCACAAACGGAAATTCATGATCAGAATAACAACTGTACACAACAGCAGCATCATATCTGGTAAATACAAGGCAGGAGGCACGGGCCACCCCAGCAGCCTATGGGCGAGGGTGCTAATAAAAGGAGCTCAGTCAACACCCTCTATATTTCCTAAGACAGCAGAACTGAAGAGGAGTGAACAGCTCAACAGCTGTCTCATGAGCCACTGATAAGAGAAGCCCTCGAGATAACTTTTTCAAAAGTCAACAAAAAGAAACCTGGCCCACGGGCCCCTCCAGTCACCTTCCTTCTTCAGGGTGTCTGGGTGGAAGTTACCAGGTTTATTCAATGAACTATATCAGGATTAGGGAGCAGATGAAATGCTGGCCTGCCAGGACACACACTCCCTATACAAACGCTGTGTTATGGTGTGCAGAGTATGCTTTCTCTAAATCGACATTTTGCACTGTTAATAATGTGTTTGTGTTCCTAAACATTGAAGTTCGTTTACCCCACACAGCCCTCGCAACCAAACGTGAAATGACATCTTTAGCAAAACGTGGGTGTTGGTTCGGAGGGAAAAAAACTATTTATGGAATACCTATGCATTTTAATGCACAAAGCTAAAAAGAGGAAGCGGTATTCTACCAAAAGACATCTGTGTACCTGCTGCTTGGGCAAGTCTGTCTTTTCAGCTTTTTCTCCTTCTTCTTTGCTAAGTGTCTTGCTGAGGTTTGACACCCATTTCAGTAAGTCCCCAGCTTTCTCAACATGTTCTTTCTTTTCTTCTTCCATTGACTTCTGATGAGCAACACGAATTGTAAAGAATACATAAATTGTTGGGATATCTAACACTAATGTCCACAGAAAAACAATTCTGCCCCAATGCCAGTATTACCACATAACCATAAAGTAATTTCTTTTTATTCACCACATGCATTACTATGACACTTTGACACAGGAACAAAAATGTCACGCAATTATAGATATTAACAGAATTCCTCCAAAAGATTTGTAAAGATTGTGATTAGAGTGCTTATTCATACACATGTACAGTCGTTATAAAATGACTGATATTACAAAAAAAGCATAGCTTCCCAACCATTACTCAGCAGAGAGAATGTAAACAATGTTGGCATATAAAGTATCTTTGAGTTGCTGCCTTTGCATTACCCTCAGGTGTGCATATGTACAACCAGCACAGGATATCAATATTTTGCCATCTATGCACATGGATTACTAAATTATCGTTAGGAAGAATATACTGCTTTTATCCCTACAGAAACAAGGAAAATAAAAGTGAAATGCTAAAAAATTTCATCTTTTTCCACAGAGGAAAATATATTTTTGTCCAGTAATACAACCTGTTAGCAGTTCGAAATTTATCAGCACTTAGAAAACACGCTTAAGCCCTTCCCTGTATCACAGAGAAAAGTAAGGAAATTTTGTTTCACTGGATTTTTTTTTTAAATTTGACTTGTAATTGTAATTCAATTCCCTATTAGAATATGAAACACTATTCATAATTTTCTGCAGAGGTCAACATGGATCATTTCCCTGACCAGAACAGCTTTTAGATTAGGCCCAAAAATGAGTACTAATATCTTTGTTCCATTACGCAGCGTAGTAAAGACTAGAAATTCCAGTTTTCAAGGGCTGAGCAGCTTCTAATAATCGTAGCCCAGTGTGGCAGTCAAAAATAGCTCTCTCTAAAGCTTCTTTGTAGGTTAACTTCTTTTTTGTTTTTGGGCATGTTATAAACTTAACATACAATTTTTCATCTTTCATCTTTGTAGCTGTGATAGCATCAATAAGATCACTCTTAATTGCCTCTTCCATTGACAATCTGGAATGAGATTTTGGATCTATCAACCCACCAGTCAAGTACTGATACTCCAGGCAGCGAATACCCATTTCTTTGTCTAGGGCATTTACGTTCACAGCTTCAACAGCTGATACAACCGTCTTCCTTACAGGGTGACTGATCCCAGCAAAGACTAGTTCACACTGCTCAATTTGCTTGGCACAACCATCATCGATTAACTCCCTTTGCAAAGCTTCTGAAATACTATACCTTTTCCCAGTAAATGGATCAATTATGCCTCCTGTACTAATCTGAGCTTCAAGACACCGGAGAGCAGTAATTCTATCTACCAAGTTTTTGCGTGAGGCTTTTAAAACTGGAATTCTTTCATTGGTTTCAGAAAGCCAAAACCCTGCAATAGGACTGTTTAGGTCTTTATTTGTTTGAGAACTGCTAACTAAAATATCACCAAACTCATTAGCTGTGATGAGACCTTCCTTATATCTATCAACTAATGCTCTGTCAATTCTACCCTGTTTTAAGGCCTCCTCAATATTGAACTGTACACCAGTTTTAAGATCTGTAAGCAAAAGAAAAGAATTCCCATAGGAATCAAAACATGTAGACTCCTTCCAATCAAATTCCTGTTTTGAAAGTTCAAGATATGTAGTTTTATCAACATAGTTTTTTTGGTAAGCCTCATATGAAGTCATTTCAGCTCCTGTTCTGATGTCTACTACAGAAATTTTATGACTTTTCTCTGCTGATGGGCTGCTTATTTTCCTTTCCCCAACTGGAAGCAGAAAGCATTTACTGTTTACACTGAACACACACATTTTCAGCAAATCATAGTAATACATAGCTTTCCTATCATTTGGATTGTGAAAACATTTTGCATTACTAGAAGGTTCATGCAAAAATTTTAAAATTGTGTTACTAATCAAGCCAAGCTGCACTGCAGTTTCTGGAGGTACACGAACACTTCTTACAGGATCAATGACTCCCCCACTTGCAATTTGGGCTTCAAGGATATTTTTACCTTTTTGTCTTTCTAAGAGTCTAGCTTCCATAGCCTGATACACGGATATTACTTTACCGGAACAGTAATATCCCAAAACAGCCTTTTCTGCCTCAAGCAGTCTACTCTTGAATTCATTATCTGCAAGCCCTCTAACAACTGAATCATCAACAGAGAATTTCTGACCTGTTGTGGGATCAATGATGAAACCAGTAGCTGCTTGGGCTTCTAAAAATGCTAATGCTAATGCTTTTCCTATGATTCTTCTCTTTGCTGCTAAAGCAAAAGAGAGTATTTCTTTGCTGGATTCAAGGTACAGCCCAGCTATAGCTGTAGGTTTAGTTAAAAAATTTTCCAGACTTTTCTGAACCTCATGAACAGTTTTCTGACCTGAATGGAGCTGCTCAACTGTGAGCCTGTCTAGAAGTTTAACTTCAGTTAACTGTTTGGCAGTTACATCATGTCTGAGACCTTGAAATTTAATATCACCATATTCTCCCATAAAATATTCCAACTGAGTAGCATCATCAACAGTTTTCAGAATTTCTTCCCCTAAGAAAGAACTCATCCTTGCAAAGTCTTCTCTCCTAAACCCTTCAGATGTTTTGCATCCCTCAAACATTCTCTCTTCATTACCAAAAGTCTTGTCATTTTCTTGCTTTAATGTTGTAACTTCAACATGCATGTCATACTGCTTGTTCTTCACTATCTGCAAACAGGAATTTTTTGACACAGTGAGAAAAATATCTGTAGAACTATATTGCACATAACTCAGTCCTAAATCCACCACCAGAGAAACAGAAGGAAGAATGTGAACAGGAGTCAGAAATAAGAAATGTTATTAGCACTGGAAAGCATAGAAATATAGTTAGCTAGAGTCTGGAAATGTATTTGCCATTTCAAATATTTATTCAACAACAGGCACGTGGCTAGATGAAGCAACAATAATTCTTCTCTGTTTGTTACTAATATGAACTTAGTGCAGCTAATCAAGGTTCATTTTGACCATTATCAATGTGATGGAGTATTTGAATTTCTATTTTGAACATAAATATTTAAAAATAAATAATGTGCTTGTTATATATTAACAAGCCTGCTGCAAAGGTTTTATAAAAGTCTTTTGGTGCAGTATGACAATGCAGGGGCCTCCTTCACCAAGACAAGAACACAAGAAAGAATACAGAATAGTTATAAAGAATACCTTAAAAAAAAAAAAAAGTAAAAATCAGCACTAGGGAGGCAAATGCTCACAAAATGTAGTGTATACCTCCAAGGGATGCAGTTTTACTAATCCTAATTCATGCTTCATATCTTCTCCACATCTAATAGTTTGTCTGGAACTATGTAGGTTCATGTCTCTTAATCTGTCTATTTCTGATACTCCAGTAATTTGGCTTTCTTTATCAAATGTTATCTGGAGCTGTGTACTTCTCTGAGAAATAAACTCTGTAAAAGATTGTGGGCTTGCATCTTCTTCTAATGATTGGTTTATTCTTGACAACTGGAACTGGACCTCTCTTGGTACTGTATCATCAGCACTCACATATAGTGTCTTTTCCTCTGTTTGACCAGATTTAAAACCTGATCTCTCTTGTTTCTGCCTTAACAAAGGTGAGCTAGGTTTTGCATGGGCATGGAGTTGTTCAAAATCTCTAGCCGAGGTGTCATTCACATAATTGAAATCATTTCCTCTTCTCTCACAGCTCAATTTAAATCCAGAATCTTTGATATTATTATGTTGCTGAATTTCATTCTGAAACAAAAGAAATCTGTGTTTGCTCTCCCTGGTCTGCAGGTCCATCTTCTGTTTCAAGTTCTCAACCATGCGCTTCTGAACTTCCAATTCTTCCTCAAGTTTCCTGCATTTCTGGTGATAGTCCATTTCAGCATGCTTCCCCTGCTGTAGTTGCTCACGACATTTTTTAAGCCTTTCTTGCAGATCTTCAATTTGCATCTTGTACAATATGATGCTTTCC